GGAAACCAATAATCAAAGAAGTAGTAACCATACTTTTTTATTACTATGAAAAGAACGCATTTATAAAAAATTGACAAGTCGTTTTTAAATTATCTAAAGAAGTCTCTAGTCATTGAAGCATTATTAGCAATTTGAATTAATTTTTCTATTAATTTATACAATATTCGCCTCTCTAGACTACAACTACCCCCCCTCTTACTACTACTACTAGAATTACTAAATATTTAAGTTATGAAATAACTGAAGATAACCAGACATTTTATAGTATCTCACCTGTATAGCATCTTCTAGAGCGTCGTAGTTATGCGGCGGGTCTGTGCGCGCCTCGTCCGTGGCCTCCGCGAACTGAAGCCACTGTTCCAGTCGCCACAGGTCGTTGTCCAGTTGTTTCCAGTTGCGCTCCGAGCACAGCGGACACGTCAGACGACCGGACTCGCTGTAGGTAACAAGTTATGTTACCTTAGTTACCACTAGTAAACTATGTTTGGATTTAATGATTTCCAGACAATCTTTAAGAAAATTCTTAGTTTTTATGATTTTTTTGAAATATGAATTTTAGGTTAGTCACTCTAGTAATATCGTATAGAAAACAGGCTATTTCAAATTAAATATAAAACTTTATTTGAATAATATTTTGCGACATAGATAATATATTTTATTTAGAATTATCATAAAACCCATAAAATAACCGCTAATTTGTGCAAACTACAACTAATTGTAAGTAATTAAATTAAAAACACTACAGTGAACACACAATTACCATGCACTACTTTGTATTCAACATTCAGAAATATTTTAGGTTATGTGTCAAAAATCAAAACTCATTCTGACAGCTAACCTAAAAAGATCTACATCTTTGCAGTAATAAACTAAATAAATACAATGTAACTTTGCTTGTCACCACAAAAAGGAATTAATTATTTTTTTGTTTTTTTTTTCTTTGAATTAGGCAAAGTTACATTGTTTTGTAGGAAAATAGGGCGATTAATAAAATATTAGAAAGCTGTACTCACTGTTCGCACGTGAGAGCGTATGACGCGGAGTGGGGCAACCTATGGGACCAGAAAAACGCATGTGTTTAATCTTAGAGCATGCCAGGTTAAAAAGCTTGTTAAACACTCCGCTCAGATCACCTAGGTGTTGCTACGCCATCTAACTCCGAGAACTGTCATTTTGACATTTGGAGCCGCCCAAATATATATTTTTTTTAGGTTATTTAACATTGATAATCCAATAATATATGTTAAAACATTTATACTTTATTTATATACAGATATTTTATAGGCGGAATAAATAAAATCCCCCACAATACGTCTTTGGATGTCTAAATAATAAAACGTACTAAGCCCCTCCACCACCACTGAAAGTGCTAATGCTACAATAGCAGATCACAGAAACGAAGAGATTATGTGACGTCATTGTACATATACATGCAAAAAAATTGCACTGTGTGTATTGATTTTATGATACAATTCTATTTGTATCATTAATCTTGTAAAAAATTATTTTGTGTAGTTAAAAATTAAAAAAAATCAATCGAAAGGACTATTCTTAGACTTCGCTGAAATAGGTAAATTATAAATGTCTACACTATGATTAAACATTTCAAAGAATCCTATTTAATATCAAGGTTCCGGGTCTTCACAAGCGCAAAGCAAATAGAAAATAGTGCGTGTGTAGGAACATTTAGTGTGCGTAGTGTCATCTCTCCCTTGTGTGATCCGCGTGTATGCAAACGTAACCAACAAGCCCTCAACAAAACTCACCTTAAATTGTTGATCTGCAATTCCCTCTTCTTGGCCTGAGTCAGCAGGTCTTCGTATCTCAGAGATAAGGACTCCACTTCCTTGAGCATCGCTTCGTCTTCCGTCGCGTCGCACTCAGTGAGAAGTAATTCCGACAAATGTTTGGCCAATTCTAATGTTTGTCCAGGCTTGGCGCCAGCTTTGGCGATCTCCTTGGCCGCGGTGGCCATCTCGTCTCCGCTGGCGTCCTCCTTCAGGTCGTG